ATCCTAATGCGTGAAAATGAAAGAAAAATGATACCACCCACAAAAGTGATATAGAGTTATTGTCAGCCTATAAAAAGTATATTTGTAAGGCATCTTTAAGAATAGTGATAATGAGAAAGTATTTTGCAGAAAAAATATGACCTGCAAAAATGAAGACTGCAAAGTAAAATGTAGACAAGACTGACCAAATTCATAGACAACCCACGCTCTCAAAGTTATGGAATTCCAACTTCGAGCAACTTTTCTGTAATAGTATCTATTTAAAATTTTAGTTAATATCGCAATATGGTAACATATTCACATATAAGTTAAGCGCACTTCCATTTCGAGTGGAAGCGTTTGGTGAAGAGAGACGAATGTCGATCCTACCAGAAGACCGCGTCGTATTTCTTTTGATAAGCTGTCGATTTGCCTCATTAAAAATTTTCGTTGACGTTGTTTCTGAGGCAATTTTCCTCAATTCCGGTGCAAACGAGCTAAGCTTACGTCTGTTGTATGTCAGCTCATCCGTAAATACTGTATATATACTTTATATCTAAGCCTTTTGAGTTGTCTTGACTCGTTAACTAGAATATACTTGTAAGGATGATACCCAGCTCTAATGATTTACTTCGAGCGATAAACTTAAACTTAACACGTTTTTCCAGAATCGAAGACGATTGCCTCGAAAACAACTTCAACAAGAATGTTCCAGTAAAGTCAATCGACAGCTGATCAACAGAAATCCGCCATCGTCTTCTGGTGGGATCGACCTTCGAATCTATTCACCAACAACTTTAACTCAAAATGGAAATAAGTTCAACAATTATGAAACGAGAGATACCCAAAAGCCCAAATTTTATTTGCATATTCACACATATTTAAGGCCATCAGAAAGCAGGATTTCTAAGTAAAAAATAATGTCAACATACCAAATAACTGGATAGTTATATTAAGACGAACAGTTAAAGAATATCAGCAGACTGATGCATGAAGTAAAGATCATATATTTGTTAGAATGCTCTCCTTAAAAGGCCTATAGCATGCTCTATACTAAATTCTAAGACGAAAGGAAAGAATCCGCATATATAAAAATCAAGCAGGCTATTTTAAGTAAAGGCATTGAAAAACGCCACTTTTTTGCCTTCGACAATTGAATAAGTAAAAACAATTTATAAACGGCTTAAAAAATTGATTAAACAGAAACCTGCTATTTTATTTTCAGCTAAAAGCACAAAATTGTGAAGGTAAAAGTGATACAGCGTGGGATTTTATACATAAGCCATTTAATTAACAAAAAGATTCAAGGGTGCTTTTGAGAATCCCTCGAAACCAAATTCGGAGTCAGAGCCGAATTATCCGATTTACGAGCATGATGTATCTGGCTTTCAAATCATATAAAATTAAATCGTTACATTAAATAATGGTTTAAAGTTTAATGTAAAATTTCCCTTACAGAACCTAATTTGCGAATGGGCATTTACAAACGTGGAGCATATGGAATCTTCTTTAAAAGATGTACTTAATGTAAATGCATAATAAAAACTGCTTTTCTTCAAAAACAAGGTTCGTGCGACATGAAAAAAATAGGTTGAAAAGTATTAGCGGATCAAGTTTGTGATCCCGAACAGTATCATCGAAGAAAACAGGATTTATTCAATGTGAAACATAAACCAGGATAGAAATCACATATTCACCATAGAGAGCATTTCACGGAGCTCGATGTAAAGCCTTTGCAATCTAAGATTGAGAGCAAAAAGATGGAGCAATTCCTCGGCCAACTTCCGCTTAGATATTCCCTAGAAAAGAAATGAAGGAAATAAGATGAAATGAGAAAATACCAGTAAAAGAAATGGCTAGCACAAGTATAAAATAGTTTTCAAAAAGTTGAGGCTTGAAGAGATGAGATAAAAATCTATTAAATACTTATTTGACCTTCGCAAATAAGTCAGTCATCGATACGTTTATAATAAGTAAATCATCATCTCATAAACAACTTACAACTTCGATAATTGTGGATAAATAAAAAAAACAAAGATTCACCGTCATCTGTAAAAGAGATTTCAATAAGTCGATGAAGAGTAATGGTTTTGAAAGTAAATTTAGCTTGAAAAATCAAATGCAATATAATAATAAATAGAGGATTTTATTAGTTTTCACATAAAAAATAAGAGTGAAGATGGAAAATATATGCGTCAAACTGTTCCAAGGCGCAAATGTCAAAAATTTGTTAAAATCGTGGCTCTAAAGCATGATACTGATACTTTATTTTTATTACTCATTGCATTGTATCTGCAAAATATATTTGTTAAACTTGATGATATTTGCATCCTCTCGACAAGCCTCAAACATCAAAGGCGTATTTAGTATGAAATTTAATGTTTATAAGATATATAATTATAATAAAATTGTGACTAGGCAAGAACATTTCACTAAAATATGCCCAGCGCTTAGTGTATGCTCACTTTAATATCAGCCTGCCATGAAGAACTGGAAGAACTAGTTGGATAAAGAACGGGGCCAATAAGGCGCGTGAAAAACCGTCGTACAGCCTCCTCGTCATTCGCTTCGATAAGCTCCCTGGCCCATCGAGTTAGCCAGTAGCGAAGTTCACTCGGAGATCCGAATAATTGAGCTCTATAAGTTTGGGCTGACAGGAAGTCAACAATGTAACTTTTAAGCCGGCTGGCGCATGCATTTCCTTGGGGCTGAGATCTAATCCTGAAGGCCCAAAAGAAAATTGAGAGCAAAATACCCAAATTAATAGCAAATATGTTTAGTACCACCTAAAATCAAGCAATAAAATATCGTTGCTCTGTAATGTAAATTTTAAAAGATTAATGATGGTTACGAAAATGCATAAGGTGCAAGTAGTGAAGAAAATATGCATATATGCATAAAAAATTATCACATGCTAAGGTTCAATTGATATGCACGAGGCTTAAAACTTCCGCAAAGGAGAATAAATATTAAGCAAAGGCGGAATTGATATAAGTTAATAAACATTTTAAATGGGCACAAGAATGTCAGGATGCCACGTTATTGGTCTTAGCAGTA